TGGGGATTGAACCACCAACATTGTAGTTAATAGTCCAGTCCTCATCACACAGCGCCATACAAAAAATGCATGAGGCATTTTTTTAAAAACATGTTGCTATCAAGTCAATCCCGGCTCATAGTGACTTTGTGTGACAGAGTAGAATTGCCCTATAGGGCTTCCAGGTCTATAAATTCTTACAGAAGCAGGCTGCCACATCTTTCTCCCATGGAGTGACTAGTAGGTTTGAACCACAGAGCTTTTGGTTAGCCGCCAAGTTCTCAACCGTGGTGCCACCAGTGTTCCTATTCATTAGTCGTTACCTAAACCCCCTGCCATGCAGTGGACTGCAACTCATAGCAACCCTATGTAGGGTTTCTGAAGCATAAGTCTTGACCAGAGTAGAAAGCCTCCCCTTTCTCCAGAAGAGTAGTTGGTGGTTTTGAAACACCAATCTTGTGGTTAGCAGTCCAGTGCTTATCCTACAGTGCTACACCAGGGCTCCATTGTTGTTGTTGTTGTTAAGTGCCATCAAGTCAGTTCTGACTCATAGGGACCTTGTATAGGGTTTCCAAAGAGCAGCTGGTGGGCTTGAATCCCTGACCTTGCAGTTCAAAGCGACCTTACAATCCAGCGCATTAACCCACAGTGCCACACCAGGACTCCTATTAGGAAGAGGGAGATGCAAATCAAAACCATAATGAGATATCTCCACACAGTCATTAGAATAGCAATTTTTTTTTTTTTTTTTATGGAAAAACACAGGACATGGAGAAATTGGGCCTCTTCAATTGTTACAGGGAATGCAAAATGGTACAGTCACTATAGAAAACAGTTAGGTGCTTTCTCAAAATGTGGGACATAAAACCACCATGTGACTCAGCAACCCCAATCCTAGGTATATACCCAGAAGCAAAACTAGGTAGGCAAACAGAAATCTCTACACCAATATGTTGCATGCAGCACATTTTTTAAGAGCCAGAAGGTGAAAACAACCAAAATACCCCACAGCTGATGAATGGATAAACAAAATGTGTGATATACAAACAATGGAATATTAGTTATAAAGAGAAATTCACTCCTAATGCATGCCACAACATGGATGAAACTTGAAAACATTATTCTAAGTAAAGTCAGTCAAAAAAGGAAAAATACTGTATATGAAGTTAGCAAAATTATAGAAACCAAAAAATTATTATTGCTTATTAGGGGTGATAGGTATGGTCTTGGTGATAGAAACAATGCCAAGAATACATGACAGTATTTTGCAAGATCTGTTTACTAAAATACCTTTTTCTCAACAACATAAATGATGGCTATAGATGTGAGCCTCACCAGATGGAATACACAGGAATCAACTACATCTGCAGAAAGAGATAATGGAAAAGCTCCATATTATCAGTCAAAACAAGGCCGGGGCAGACTGTAGAACAGACCATCAATTACTCATATGCAAATTCAAACTGAAGCTGAAGAAAATGAAAACAAGTCCTCGAGAGCCAAAATACGACCTTGAATATATCCCACCTGAATTTAGAGATCATCGGAAGAACAGATTTAATACATTAATCACTAAAGACTGAAGATCAGAAGAGTTGTGGGATGACATCAAGGACATCATACATGAAGAAAGCAAAAAGTCATTAAGAAGCCAGAACCACATCCAGATCACCAGAGATGAGAAATCCCCACTTAAAAGGACGAGCTGACGAGCCTGGAGCGGTGAGAAGAACAAAAGATACATCTCGAATGGAGAACCTACAGGAAAAATACGATACAATGGAGTCAGATGGACTGTTACTACGGGAACAAATGTTGCTTCCCTAGGAGACATTGGGGCAGTTGGTCGGGTCCTACCAACGTAGGCCCCCTCCCAAAACTGAGACTCGGAGAAAATGCACGCTCAGATTGGTAAACACACACATCATCGTTGGGGAGAAGTGGGGTAAAGGCAGCAATGAAGCGGCGAACTAAGCCTCGCAATATTCAGAGGGCTTCTGTGGACCCGGCTGGGGACCTGATTGGCAAGCAATGCAAGGAGACCCGAGGACTCCTTTGCCCAGAGTCAGTGAC